TGTGGAGCAGCTAGAACCAAGCAGAAGCTGCAGTTTGATTGGTTTGACAAGTCAGTGGACAGAGTACAGGCTGGCAGAGTGGCTGGAAAATGAGGAAATCTAAAGAGATGCCCCAGCTCCTTGCTCCCCATAAGATCAACTGAGGCCTCTGTTAAAACTGTGTCCAGTTCCACCCCTCTTTCAGCCCATTTCTGCTTTTCACGCTTGCCCACAGTTGTTAATCATGGGAACACTTTCCTGTAAACCTCCTGCCTGCAAATCATCCTGGCAGAGCCAGCTTCCTGGCTGGGGAAATTGACTTACAATATAAATTGATGTTTATAGATCTTTACACCCCCAAACTGCAGGATATATGTTCTTCTTTAGTGCAAATAGAATATTCGTCAAGATAGAGCATTTTGAGGCATAAAATTAATCTCAATGAATGCCAAAGGATTAAAACCTTATAGACTATGTTCATTAAACACAAATGAATCATATTAAAAGCAATAACAATAAAATACCTGAAAGAACACTGGAATTTGAAAATTAAACATATGTTTAAATAATACAGGAGTCAAAAAAGAATCACAAATTAAGAATAACTTGAATGATAATGGAAATACAACATGTCAAATTTCTGAGATGCAGCTAAAACGGTGCATAGAGGGAAATGCATTGCTTTAAAATGCTTATATTAGAAAGAAGAAAGATTTAAAATTAATGACCTATGTTTTTCTCTTAATAATCTAGAGAAAAGAAGAACAAATTAAACCCTTAAACCCAAAGTAAGGAGAAGAGAGAAAGTAATAAAGAGCAGAAGAAGGTGAATTAGAATACAAATAATGGAGAAAATAGAAGAACCTGCAAGTTGATTCTTTAAAAGATTTAATAAAATTTATAATTTCCTAGCAATATAAATTAATCAAAAAGAGAGAAAAAGCAAATTACCAGTATCAGAAATAACCAGGGAAATCACTACAGATCTTACAGAAAATGAAAGAATAATAGGAAAACATTATCAACAACTTTATACCAATAAATTTTACAACTGAGATGAAATGGACAAATTGCTTGAAATCACATATTGCTGATACTGAAATAACAAGAAACAGAGAATATGAATAGATTTATAAAAGAGCTTGGTTCATAATTAAAAACTTTCCAACAAAGAAAAAAATCCACCCCAGATGGCTTCACTATTGAATTCTGCCAATAATTTAAGAAAAAAAATTACCGATATTACATAAACTCTTTCAGAAAATAGAAAAGGCAGGAACACTTCCCAATATATTTTGTGAGGTCAATACCTGGTACCAAAACCTGGCAAATACATTACCAAAAAAGAAAATTACAGACAACTTTTCTCATGGAGGTGGACACAAAAATCCCCAACAAAATATTATCAGATCGAATCCGGCAATATGTAAAAAGGTTAATTCACTGTGACTACGTGGGATTTATCCTAGGAATGCAAGTTTGGTTTAACATTTGAAAGTCAATCAATGTAATTCAGCACAGTAAGCAAATAAATGATTTTTAAAAACATAATCCTCTCAATCAATTTAGAAAATCACTTGGCAAATTCAACATCTATTCATGATAAAAGCTCTCAGCGAGCTAAGACTGCAAGCAAACTGTCTCAATCTGATAAAGTACATTTACAAGAACTTACAGCTAACGTCTTCTTAATGGGAGATAGTGAACATTTTCGCCCTAAGATTGGGAACAAGGTGAAGTGTCTGCCTTCATCATTTCTAGTTGGTAGTGGAGGTCCTCGCTACTGTAATAAGAGAAGTGAAAGAGATGATAGGCATTAAGGTTGGAAAGGAGAAGGAAAGATGTCTCTATCGGTAGATGATGTGATTGTTTAAATAGAAAATCTTAAGAAATCTGTCAACAACCACTAGAAACAATAATTGAATTTATCAGGTCAGTATATTGACAATAATTGGCAAATATATGGTACTAGCAGCAAACAATTGGAAAATGAAACTTAGAAAACAGTATCTTTTAAAATACCATTCAAAAAAAAAAACCAGAAGAAATTGTTAGGAATCAGTTTAACAAAATACGTGCAACACCTCTATATTGGAAATCACAAAACATTTTGGAGAAAAACTAAAGAAGGTCGACTAAGTCGAGAGCTCTACCATGTTCATGAAGTGGAAAGTTCAATATTGTTGCGATGTCAGTTCTGCCCAAAGTGAGCCATAGATTCAATGTGATCCCAACAATATCCCGACAGGCTTTTTCATACAAGTTGACGTTAAAATGCATACGAAGATAGGACATAGAATACCCAAAACAAGCTTGAGAAAGAACGTCTAAGTTGGAGGATTCACTTTACCTGATTTTAGGACTTTCTGTAAAACCACGGTAATCCAGACAGTGTGAGAATAAACAAACAGATCAATGGAGCATAATAAAGAGTCCAGAAGAAGACCCACACATGTACAGTCCATTGGTGCCAACAAAGCCATGAAAGCAAGTTGTTGGGCAAAAAATATTTTCATAAATAGCTCTGGAAAACTACATAAATGAACCTTATCTCACACCCTTCAAAAATCCAGTTTGGATGGATTGTAGCCCTAAACAGAAGAGCTAACACTATAAAGCTTCTATAAGAAATTATGACAGTATCATTGTGACCTTGGGGTTGGTAAAGATTTTAAGAGCAGACATAAAAAGGACTAATCATAAAAGAAAGATTTGGTAAATTGGACTTCATAAAATTTTAAATTTCTGTTTAGCAAAACATCTGTAGATATATGTACCAAGTTTCACATATGTACAAATAAATATGTATACATATGCCTATATACATTTTTGCATGTATATATAAAACATTCCTAATAACAAAATGTGGAAGTGTGGTCTCATCCTAGGGTATGATTTTTTTTGTCACTTGGGTGTTTCTATCTCAAGTAACAATTCACTTTTTGTAAGAGTTATTTTATTCTGTCGAACTTCTGCTCACGAAGGAAATGAAATGGCAAGCCGGAGAGTGAGAGAAAATGTTCACAATATACATATCTCACGAAAGACTTATGTCCAGAACGTATAAAGAACTTGCACAAATAAATAACAAAAATATAAGCAACCCTCCTTTTTAAAATGGGCCAAAGACTTGAACAGATATTTCACAGAAGGTGTATCAATGGCCAGTAGACCATGAAAGTTGCTCATCCTTATTAGGTATCAGAGAAAATAAACTGAAAACACAGTGAGATTCTATTTTACACCCAGGAGAATGGCTAAGAATAAAAAGACAGACAACAACCAAATGTTGGTAAGGATGTGGAACAACCAGAACTCTGAAATGAAGTGTGCAAAATAGCACAACCACTATGGGGAACTTTTTGACAGTTTCTTATTAAGTTCAACATATTCCTACAATATGATCCAACAAATTAACTCATAAGTATTTTCCCAAAGAAAAGCACCCCCCCAACTGCACAAAAATATTCAAGTAAAAAATCCTTAGAGCAATTCTATTCACAATACCCTCCAAACTGGAAACATTTCAGATGTCCATCAACAGGAGAATGCAGTGACAATTTGTGGTTTATTCATCAGTGCAATGCTTCTCAGCAGTAACAAACAGAATGGCTCTTGACGCACACCATAGCTGAGTCTCAAATCCATTATGTTGAGGGAAAGAAGCCATTCACAAAAGAATAATGCATGATTACATTTATCTGAAGTTCAAGAATAGGTCAAATTAATATATGGTGACAGATGTTAGAAGAGGGTTTGCCTATGAGGATGTGTGGATTGACCAGAAAGGGGCACAAGAGAACACTCTGAGGTAACAGGAATATAATAAATCTTGTGCCAGTGTATACATTTATCCAAACTCAAAGAATTGTATGCTTACGTACGGTATGTCTCACCTTAAGTAAATTTTACCCCAGCAAAAATATAAAATAATCTTAACAAATAATATAAGCGGGGTTGAATCACATGGTTTAAATAATCCTTTTTCCCAGTGGGATATTTTGATGTCGTTTGAACCATTTGGGTTTTTTTAAAACTTATTTTTATTCTGTTCAGAAAAGCAATACATATGTTTATCAGTCTGCTCGGTCTGCCGTAACAAAATACCACACTCTGTCTTAAACAACAGAATTTATTCTCACAATTCTGGATGCTGGATGTCTGAGATGGGGGTGCCGTCGTGATTTCTGGTGACAGCTGTCTTCCTGGCTTTGGCCTGTGTCCTCATGTGGCCGAGGGAAAGCAAACTCTGGTGTCTCTTCTTACAAGGGTGCTAACTGCATCACAAGGACCCCACCCTCATGACCTCATCTAATCTTAATCACCCCTCAAGGGCCCCACCTACAAATACGAGAACACTAGGGGTTAGAGCTTCAGCATATGAATTTGGGGGACACAATTCAGTCCACAGCAATATATCTTCTAGAAAATCTGGTAAATATAGGTAAGTGGAAAGAGAAAAAAAAAACCATGTCATTGCGTTACCCAAATCGCATTACCCATTGCTGTTCACATTCCGATGGATTTTGCTTCCAAAGTTTTGTTATTTCAACATTTATGGGGTTGTAGTCATTCTGTACTTGTAATCTTGTATCATGATCTTTTTAATTTAATTACAGCATGAAATTTACTCTATGTTACTAAAATCCCTTCTTAAGTCCCCCTTTTTTAATAGCCACAGAAGGTTTCCCCGTGACCGTGTTGTAGTTTATTTATTTGGTCTCCTGTGATCGAATGCTGAGATACTTTCCAGTAATTTGCTAGTGGAAATAATGCTCTGAGAAATATATTTGTGCAAGAGGCTTTTTCTGGAACTCAGATTCCTTTCTTGGGATAGAATTCCAGAAAATGGAAATTGTAGGTTAAAAGGGTGTGCTCTAATTACATGTTGCCAAATTCCTCTCCACAAGGATGTCCCACTTTACACTGCCCCCAGCAGTGGGGCAGGAAGGTGACCTCTCTGCTTGCTGTAGGCACGGGGGGGCGTTTCCACTAATGTGTGTGTTGGCTTGTTGCCACAGGTAAGCAAGGACAGCTGAGGACAACTGGAGCAGGATCCCCCTGGCTCTGGGGGCCCAAGACCCTCCCGCCCCCTATCCCCGGCAGCCTGTGTTCTGGGCCTCACCTAGACAAGTCTGAGTAGGAACAAAGCCATCGCGTCCATCCACAGCCATGAATTTCCTCCGGCGGCGACTCTCTGATAGCAGCTTCGTGGCCAACCTGCCCAATGGCTACATGACAGACCTGCAGCGCCCAGACAGTTCCACCAGCTCCCCGGCTTCCCCGGCCATGGAGAGGAGGCACCCCCAGCCCCTGGCAGCCTCCTTTTCCTCTCCAGGATCCAGCCTCTTTAGCTCCTTCTCCAGTGCCATGAAGCAGACCTCACAGGCCCCCTCGGGGCTGATGGAGCCTCCAGGCCCCTCCACACCTGTTGTTCAAAGGCCCAGGATCCTGTTGGTGATTGATGATGCCCACACAGACTGGTAAGCCGGAGTCTGCAGGGGCTCTCACCGAGGGGCAAGAAAGGAGGTGGGGCTTACCTCTCTCTTGGGGGGAGGGAGGGGTGGAGCTATGAGAGGTTCTGCGGTATCAGAGACTGGACTGAGGGAAGGAAACACATTTACCGCATGGCTACTGCGTGGCAGTCACCACTTTGTGCCACACTCTCTCCTAAGGGTTGGCATGTATAGATCCACAACCCCTCACCTGCAAATCTAAAGTCCAAAAACCCCTGAAAACTAGAAATTTTTTTTTTTGAGGAAGCTTAGCCCTGAGCTAACATCTGCTGTCAATCCTCCTCTTTTTGCTGAGGAAGACTGGCCCTGAGCTAACATCTATGCCCATCTTCCTCTACTTTATATGTGGGACGCCTACCACAGCATGGCTTGCCAAGCGGTGCCATGTCTGTACCCGGGACCCGAACCGGTGAACCCCAGGCCGCCAAAGCAGAATGTGTGCACTTAACTGCTGTGCCACCAGGCCAGCCCCTAGAAAATGTTTTATAATCCATTTGGCAGCAAAGCCTGACCTGAAGGGAAGCGAGACTGTAATAATCTTCATTATGCCACTGACTGTGCTTGTTCATATGATTTGCTGCAAACATCTTCATGTGTTTGCTGTGGGGTGCTGCCCAGAGCCCACTGCAAGTGTTAATATAGCATATGGTATATGCACTGTATTGCCTTTCTAAAAACGGAAAATTTTTTAAATCTAAAATAATTCTGGCAAGTTGCTTAACTTCTTTCAGCCTCAGCCAGCCTCCCCTCCCTCCATGAAGTGAGGTTATGAGGGTAAATGTGGACAAGTCCACAGTCCTTATCTAAAACCCTTGGGACCAGTCTGCGTGAGTCTGTACCCCAGCTCTTTCCTGGACTGGCTCCAGAACTTGTCCTTTTAACACCAAAGGTGGGCGGAGATGATGTACCTTCCAGCCTCTTCTCAGGCCCCAGTAGATGGTAAGCTCTCCAAGGGCAGAGACTGGACAAGTGTGTCAAAGTCATGGGCAGAAGTTGTTCGACGGATAGTTACCGAGCACCAGCAGAGTGCAAGTCCCAGCGTCAGGGGCTCAGGTAAGTGGTGAACAGGTGCCGCTCACACGGAGCTGCAGTTGGAGAACAGACCTTTACTCCAAATTGTTGGTAGAGAGGGGTGAAAAATATTATCAATCCAGCTGGAGACAGACTTTGCAGTCCACGAAGTAAGCCCACGGGTGGAGATATGGAAGCACCCCATCCAGGGCAAAGGAATGCATGGGTGGGAACCAGAGGAGTTCTGACAGTGGACCCAAGGACGGTCATGGCGGCTGGAGGGCAAGGTGGCATGCGTGTGTCTCCAGAGGCTGCTGTGTAACAGGCACTCAGTAAATATGTATGAAATGAACAAATTCCTGCATCCAGTTCACTAAGCAGCCAGGGGCTCTGTCATTGTTACATGCGTGTGTACACTCCCATTCATTCCTTGAGATGTTCGCTCAGGGTGGAAATGATCGAGCCTATAGTTTGGATTGGGAGATATTTGTAGTTTATAATACATATTCCATATGGTCAGCATTAAAGACTGTTCAGACGGCAGTCTCTCCTGTCCTGTTAGGAAATCACTGCATCTTACCCGGGGCGGTCACGTGTATGGCCTCTGTTCTGAGCCGGTCTGCAGCATCTGTGCTGTTGCTGCTTGCTTGAAGGCTCTCCTCCTGAAGCCCCTTGCATCTCTGCTTATGTGCTTGTGTGAAGCACCATCTTTAGGTTTCGAGCTTCCAGGTTGATTTCTGCAGAGGTGTTGCTCCCACGTTCTCTGGCCTGCGCGGTCCTGTGCCTGTCCACCCGGTGATCACAATGCCTTCATGGCCTTTGTAGTCTTCTGTTTCTCTTTAACCCAGTGCTTGACCTTACTCTGCTGACTGTGTTATCCTGGGCTCAGTCCAGGTTTGCCATGATATGGAATTGGCAGGGCGGGGGGTGGTATTTAAAAACCTGGTTGTGAGAAAAGCTGCTTCCTGTATGGAGGTTAAGCTAATAAATGGGATGGTACCCTGGTTAGGAACTCAGACTTCAGAGCTAGACTGTCTGGGTTCAAATCCCATCTCTACCCCATAGTAGCTATATGACCTTTGCAAGTTACTGCACCTAAATGGGAATAAAATAAATAAAATAACACCTACCTTGTGGAGTTAATATATATACATAGAGTTAAAATCTGAGTTAATGTGAAAGTGCTTAGGATGTGTCTGGTAAACAGTAAGTGCTATTTAAGTGTGTATCATTATTGCAGACTATTGTGACCTCCTGTGCAACATTAATCACCTTGACAGCAGCCCATCTTAGGAGGCCTATTTAATCTCTTCATGCCCAATATTGGGTAGAATGGATTAGGATTTACCCCCTTGCACTAGAGCCTTCTACTGGTCACTCTTCCCTGCTGGCCCTCGGTGATAAAGTTGGGTCGTATTGGTCTCTGTCCCCGCAGCGTCCATATGGTGTGAGTCTAGTGTAGGGCACAGTAAGTGAGGTTGAAATGCAATGAATGGCTTCAGCCAGGTACCGTGTAAATTTGACATTGGTCTTCAGTCTCTCCTCCACAGGGATGACCAATGTGTGAATTTTAGGCTGCACACTGGTGGGGGACACAATTTTGGCCAGAGGAATTTCTCTCAGTCTGTTTTGATCATGCCTCATATGCCCAATCGTTAATTAGGTCTTGAGACCAGCAATGTTTTTCTGGCCCCTCAGTGCGTAAAAAAGGAAGTGAGACCCTGACGCTCGGTAACTCACGTGGAAGTTGGCTCTGTCTCTGTGGGATGTTTGTGATAGAGACTTCTTACCCACACACACGTCAGCTTCTGTTGGAGAACTCCGTCCGAGATTCTTCATGAACTTCCTAACCTCTCTGAATCTCAGGACTTTCCCGACTTTCTCCAAATTGATGCTGGCTGCCATGGCTTCTCCATCCTCCCCAGCAGAGCTCCCAGGGATACGCATCCGCCACTACCAGGAGTGGCCGGCAGGTGGCGGGCTAGCCCCACTGTCCCCGAGCAGCATTAGCACAGCCTGGGCTGCTTGGGTCAGCCCCTCCCTCATTGTGCGGACTGTCTCCTGAGAGGAAGAAGTTGTTAAAGAGGGAGAAGCTGGCCCACACAGCCCCTTTCTTCCCCCTTTGAGATGATAATGAGGGGAGAGAGGGCCCACCGTCTGGACGGAGGGTGACCCCACCAGGAACAATGCTGCTGCCTTTTCTCCCTTCTGAGCCCCACATCCTCCCCTCTGTCTTGCCCTTCCCTTCCAGGTCCAGGGCCTTTCTGCAGAATCAGGTTTCTTGTGGGTGAGGGAGTTGAACCCCTCACTCTTCCCGTCCTATCTGAGGCCAGCTTGCAGACCCGGGGAGCTAGCTGGGCCCCCCAAGGACGATCTGATACCTGGCCAGTGACCTAGGAGGAAGGACTTTTCACCTTCTGAGGAGAAACAGAGGGTCCCAAGGCCACCTTTGCTGGGAAGAAGGACTCATGGGAAGTGTTTTAAGATCTCACCACCTTTTGGGGTGAACCTGGCCAGGGCAAGGGTGTTTGGGGAGCTTTGGCCCAGCCCCACATAACGTCTGGCTCAGTAGTCGGTCTGAACTGAAGTTGGTGCTGTCCTCTGCGATGAGGGGACATCAGTCAGTCCCGAGAGCCACAAGGGAAAGGAGAAATAAAAGAACTGGATCTCAAGTTCACTTTTCTTCAGCCCTACTGCCGCTCCACTAATTGTCCTGCCTAGAATTTTCCAGCAGCTTCACTGGCCTCAGGCATCCAGTCTTGACCTTGCCTCCTGGTTACCTTCCATGTTGCCACCAAGGTGTCATCTTTCTGAGCACAGGCCAGCAAACTTTGCTCCCACTGTTATAATCCTTTGGTGGTGGATGACCGCCCTCAAGTTCAAATTCAAAGTCCCCATAAGCATGTCTGCCCTCCCTATGGCTCTGGCTCCAGCTCCGTTTCCTGCTTTGCTGTTCCTTCTGTAGGAATAGCGAACACCATATAGTTCTCAAACACATCTTTTGGCCTTAGCACATTCTGTTCCCTTCTCCCTGAATACCCTTCCCTATCTTGTTCCCTTGGCCAATTTCCATTCATCCTTAAAAGCCTGCTTGGGTGTCACCTCTTCTGTGAAGTATTCCCTGATACACCCTACACTGCCAACAGTGCTAATAACTACCTTGTTTGTATAACTTAAAACATATTTCATGGTGCCCTGGCAGCACATATCACACTGTGTTATAACTGGCTGTTAGGTGGCTGACTCTTCTGCAGGAACGAGGCCCGTGTCTTATTCTGCTTTATGTCCCTGATGCTCAACACACATAAGTGTTCAATTAGCACATGTCACTGCCCCCACCCAGTCTAATCAGGATGACTCTTGGTGGGCATAATGGGCCCGAGATGCACCCTTTCTCAGGGGTCAGCCATATAGACACACAGTTGAGGTGTTGCTGTTTTTACTCACCTGTGTATAAAATCTTGGCTCTTTCTTTTTCTGTATACTAGCGGAACTGTAGGGCTGCTATTTGAGATAGTTAAAAAAAAAAAAATAGGCACATTTTTTACTATTGCCCACAGAATGTACCAGAACTCCAGGTTTTGAAAACCCCAGGTTTTTCAAAATCAAAACATTGAACATGACAAAAAAAGATTGCTCATGACCAGGTTGGGATTTCGGTACAACTGCCTACTCTCCGTTTTTCCCACAAGGTCTCTGGATTCTGGATGGGGCTTGGGGTGGGGGTGGGGGATGGGGGAAGAGAAGCAGCTGTGGCTTTGCCCGAGCCCCTCCCCTGGTGTCCTCTGGAACTCTGGCTCTCCTCTCCTCTCACCTCACCATGGCCTCGTTCCCAGAATGTCTGCTATTCCATTTCAACAACGACCTATTGTTACCTTCCCTATGGTTCCTTTCTTCTTTTATTTGTTGGGGAGGAAATGAAAAGGGTATTCTTGGTTTGAAACACCCCTCAGCTG